CGCCTCCCGAGGGCGGCGCTGGTCGAGGTGCCCGCCGGCGTCCCGGGGCTTGGCCGCAGTCATCCCTACCAGGGAACGACGGGGTCCATCTGTTCAGATACTTTGCGTCTCAGATTTTCACAGGTGTGAAAATCATCCGGGCATCTTGTCAAAGTGTAGTGTGCCCTTGAACAGGGTGCGGGTGAAGCCCCAGATGCGTTTCTAGCGAGCCCCTGGGCCGCGCCGGGGCTGCCGATGCCCGCACGGCGGTGCGGGTGTTTCCCTTGCACGGTGCAGGTTTTCCCTGCTCGTTGGAAGCCTCCGGATGTTACAGGAAAGTAGGCTGCGAGTGACAGTTCACTCCGCAGAGGCCGTTCCACGGTTTCCGTGCGCTGTGCAAGCCTTCAGTCCATTTAAGTGAGCTGACGGGAGCTGCGTGAGACGCGGGCCTGCCTCCTGCCCTCTGCTGTGGCTCCCCGGTGGCCCCGGGACCGCTGCTGAGGACCGTCCTTTCCCCCGCTGAATCTCCTCCCTCCCCAGACAGCGGCGGGCCGCCCGGCGAGGGCTTGCCTCTGGGCTCCAAGCCGCTCCGTTGGTCCATGTGTCTGTTTTTATGCGAGAACTATACTTTTTCCCTGTAACTCTGTGGGATAGTTTGAAATCAGGAAGTGCGACGCCTCCAGCTTTGTGTTCCTTTCTCAAGATTGCTTTGACTGTTTGGGTCTTTTTTGGTTTCATACAAATTTTAGAATTGTTAGTTCTATTTCCGTGAAAAACGCCATTGGGATTTTGATAGGAATTGCATTGAGCCTGCAGATTGCTTTGGACAGAATGGACGTTTTAGCAATATTTATTCTTCTGATCCATGAATAGGAGATGTCTTTCCATTGATGTATGCCCCGAGGAAACACTGATTTGCTTTTATGTGGCTGTAGATCGACTATGTTCTGTAGAGATTCAGATAAATGGGGTCATGCGTTCTTCAGCATAAAGTTTTAAAGTTCATTAATGATATTGTGTGTCTTCAACAATATTCAATTTTTATAGATGTATCACATTTAAAAAAATGAACTTACCTGTCCATTGACATAGGGGCTGTTTGCATTTTGAGGCTATTATGAACAAAAGTGCATAAATATTTGTGTACAATTCTTTGTGTGAACATGTATACTTCTCTTTAGTGACACCTAAGATCGGAGTAACTGGATCATATTTTACATGTATGAAAAACTGTTAGAAATTTCTTTAAGGTAAAGTTCTTAAGCCTTTTCATTCGTGTCAGTGATGTAAGAGAGTACCAGTTATTTTTCCTCCTAGCCAACAGTTGGTATGATCAGTTTTTAATTTTACCAATTCAAATGGACATATAACAGTATTAATGTATTTCTGATCTTTTAATGTACTACTTGGTTATTTGTATATTTGTTTAGAAATTTCAGTTCAAGTCTTTTGTCCATTTTGTTGGATAGTTTTAGTTCTGATTTCTTTTTTATATATTTTGTGGTCAAAGGACATAATTCTGTATCACTTCAATCCTATGAAATTCACTGAGATTTGCCTTATGGCCCAGCGGATGGTCTAGTTTTGTGTTCCAGTGTACACTTGAAAGAATGGGTATTCTGTTGATGTTGGGTGGAATATTTTATAAATATCAGTTTAAAAATTGTTGAATGTAGTGCTGTCTCCTATATCTTTAATGATTTTTTATTTGTTGCATCAATTTTCAAGAGAAGAATGCTATATTTCGGTTATAATTGTGGATTTGTCTATTCTTTGAATTCTAGTTTTTGTTTAATGTTTTTTTTTAAAATATCTTTATTGATTTCAGAGAGAGGGAGAGAGAGATAGAAACATCAATGATGAGCGGCATTGATCTGCTGCCTCCTGCACGTCCCCTACTGGGGATGGAGCTCGCAACCCCGGGCACGTGCCCTGACTGGGAATTGAACCCCAATCTCCTGGATCATAGGTCCTGAGCCACTCCCCACTGGGCTTGTTTAATGTCGTTTGATGTTTTGTTATTGGGTGCATATATTTATGATTATGTCTTTGTGATGTACTGAAACTTTCATTATCAGGTATTCATCTATATACCTGATAATATGTTTTACTCTGTCTGAAGAGTAATTTGTGTTAGTAATATAGCCATTCCAGCTTTAGGACTTGTGTTTTCATGGTATATATCATTGCATCGTTTTATTTTTAAACCTATCAATGTTTATATACAAAGCATGTTTCTAGTAGACATTTTGTAGTTGGTTTTGCTTTTTGAAAAATCCAGCTTGATAATCTCTGCCTGTTGGGAGAAATTTCTCCATTGGTCTTGCATGTTTCTGAATGTTTTCTGAGCAAAGGTTTTAATAGTTTTTTGCTCTAGACTATCTTTTTAAGGATGTTTGTATAGCAAGTAAACTTGGAAGATAGTCTAGAGCAGATTTGTTTGCTGTCTAGTGTAGTGGAGATAATGCCTCTCTCCTGAGCAGAGTGGGGCACTTTGCTTAGCAGGCCCTTATTTAAGATCGGGGCTTCCTTAGTTGTAACACGGACCCAAAGTGTACACACTGTCCACCTGGGCACACCTCTGCACCACCCTCATGGGGGTTGGCGAGTCAAGGAAACCAACGCCAGCATGCACGAGATACTGCCTGCTGTGCCAGACAGTTATTTGCCTATACCCACTGAGTCTCTGTTTTCTGCCAGCATCTATGAAACTGTGAGTTTGAATTGTTTCTTATAAGTAGAATAAAATCTCATATCCTTCACAGTTCTTGATACTACCTTTAAATTGGAGTGTTTAAACCATTTATATTTAAAATAGCTATTAATTGGGGATTTAATCTGTTATCTTGCCATTTGTTTTCTTTATTTTCAAATCCATTCTTTTTCAATCTTCATTTTGTGGGATTTTAAGCATTCCCTTTTATCTCCATTAGCTATACTTCTTTGTTTGTGTGCCTGTGGTTTCTCTAATATTTACAATGTCTTTAACTTATCCAGGTCTACCTTCGAATAATATATTTCTTTACATAAAATATAAGAAACTTTCAACAATTGTACTCTTCCACCCTTTGTTATTGTTGACATACACTTACCCCTACATGTTATTAAAATGATAATTAATTTTGCTTAAACTAGTCAATTCATTTTTAAATAAGATATTAAAATAAAATGATTTTATATTTACTGTATGTGTATTATTTTCAGAGCTTTTCATTGTTCTATGTAGATCCAAGAACCTGTCTGATATAATTTTCTTCCCCCTAAAGAACTCTGCCCTACAAGTCTGCTGTTGATAAATATTTTTTGGCACTTCTGAAAAAAATTCTGCATTTTTACCTTCAGTTTTGAAGGGCATTTTTGCTCTACATAAAACTTCATCTTGACAGGTCTGCAAAGCACTGTGTATAGTCCCTTATTCTGGAATTTTGCCTGCGACTCCCAGCTGCCCAACTTCCTGAACTCTTATCTCTGCTCCTCAACACACCTTCATCTCAAGAAAACTGCTGTGCTCTGCTTATGACACTTTTCTCTGCAGCAAGATCTGGAGCGCTCCTCCAGGCAGCAAGGGGGTAGTCATAGGGTTCACCTTTTTCTCTTCTGTTAGGGACCATAGCCCTTTTTTGACTTTTGTCTCATTTCTAAAAACCATTATTTTAAATGTTTTGTCCAGTTTTCTAACTGTTTGCTGTGGAAGCATAATTCTGGTACTTCCATCGCGCCCAGAAGCAGAATCCCCTGTACTTCAGATGGTATTTTGGATGCTGCAAATCAGTCACTAAACATAATGCTCATGTTAATCTAATAGTTGGCAGTCCTTGAAAATAATTGTGCTAATTCCATTTTCATGTTAATAATTACTTATTTGCAATATCAGCACATAACATTGGTTTTAAACAGTTTGTTTAAACACAAGTCATTATAAATATACAGCAGAGGAAACCTTTTCCCTTATTATTAAAACATAATTCTAAATCTCTCTATAAGTCATAAATCCAACTGCAAAATTTAAACATAAATATATGCCTTTCAAAAGCCTATACATATTATCATTTGGTGAAAAGCAGCAAATCTCAAATTTCCAAAAAGTAACTGGTAGAGAGATATCCTATTTATTAAAATTCTAGAGCCTGTGGCTTAGATGTGAAATGGTTGCATTGTGTTTATTTTGCAGAAAGGGCAGACTATTGCCTTTATTTTCCATATGGAGTGAAATCTGGAAATGCCACGTGGTATCAGATGTCGGCCTGGCACATGATTTCTTCCATACAGGCTCCAGCTTTATGTCCACTAGAAGAGATGAAAATACACAAGAAAAAGAAATTCAATTTATTTATATGAGGAAATGTTTGCGCAAACTATAAATTATCTGGAAAAGGTATCAAAGGGAGAACCCTTTTTTATGCTAAAAGAATTACATAAAGAGCTAGAAATGCTATTCCAATTAAAGTCGCATTCAGATACAATCCAGATTTGAAAATCACTAATATCAAATAAATTATATCTGGGGATATAATTTGATAGAAACTTTTTTTTTCCCCCCCTGTGAGTCAGGCACCAAATACTAGGAACAGAAAGAATTTGTAGGAGATGAAGATAACAGTTTGGAGAAAAGGTCAAAGTCATTTCTAAACGTAATGAGTGTGACAGAAACATTAAACGGGGATTTTCTTTTCTGAGACTTATGCTCTGTTTGGTATAGAGTTTTCTGATGTGTTCAAGCCTAGTCTGAATAACCATTTGACAGGAGATTTTGTAATTTATTTTCCAAATAATATAATCCAAAATACTTAAGTGAATAATTTTGTCAGATAACACATGGCAAAGCAAAAACTGGAATCCAAAACAACATGGTTTCAAAGATCAGACCCTTTCCATTAAACCACAGCATCGCCAGGAGATGGTTACAAAGGAGATTTAAATAATAGATGAGAATTTGATTAGAGGAGCTTTAAGGTACATTCCCAGGCTGCAACCACACATTTCTCAAAGGAAAAGGGGAAAACAAAATTTAGAGTATTACATAAATTAAAAATGAGGCTGGCTGGTGCACTTCAGGACCCGTTCATTAGAGGGAAGTCTTTATACTTACTAGGAGCCCTGGTTCTGGAATAGGAGAAGGCTTTGCGAACCGCTTATTAAATTTCATCTTCTCTTTCTTTAGGTTTTTCATATTCTGAATACGTTTATTTAAAGACTTGTGCAAAATGAAAAGAAAAAACAAATCATATTTGTTTATAACGGAGAGGTAACATGCTGATTATATTTTTGGTTTATGTCAATAAAAAAGACATGGTTTACATAGCTACATAGAAGTAGGGAAAAATATTTTTTTCAAAAATTCATGGTTTATGCCTGGCCAGGCGTGGCTCAGCGGCTGAGTGTCCACCTGGGATCCAGGCGATCGGGGTTCGATTCCGGGTCAGGGCACAGGCCCGGGTTGTGGGCTCGATCCCCAGTCGGGGGCCTGCGGGAGGCAGCTGATCAATGACTCTCTCATCCTTGATATTTCTCTCTCTCTCTCTCCCTCTCCTGTCCTCTCTCTGAAATCAATAAAGACATATTTAAAAAAAAAATTCATGGTTTATGGATGAAAAAACACATTGAACTATCAGTAGGATTTTCGAAGGAGAAAATGTACTCTTTTTTTTTAACCCTCGCTGGAGGATATTTTCCCCACTGCTTTTCAGAGAAAGTGGAAGGGAGAGAGAGAGACATCGTCAATTTGGTTGCCTCCAGCACCCCCCCAACCAGGGCCAGGACTGAGCCTGCAACCGAGGCACGTGCCCTTGACTGGAATCAGCCGGGGACCCTTCGGTCTGCAGGCAGACATGCTAACCACTGAGCAAACCAGAAACGATGTTTACTCTTGATCCCCACTTTACCCACTGTGTACATTTAGATAGATCCAAGATTCACGGAGATATATTTATAGATATACTTTTAGCTTAAAGGTAATGTCCATTGAAACCCCCTCAAAGAGCTTTCTTGAGTCCCCACTGTATGGCATCTACATGTATCAGATAGCTAGGGGATGAAGCCAGAATGCGTGAAAATCTTGCTCAATGGCAAAAAAGACATCCTGGAATGTTCCCCGTAGCACTCCATTACAGGAAAATGTGTAACCTACCCACCACCCATCAACAGGAGAAAGGATTAATGAGCCGAGATAGGTCCCCCAAGGAAATATTAAACAGTAACGAAAATAAAGGAACTATAACGATATACAGTGATACAGACGAATCTTATGAAACAATGTTGAGAAGAATAAATTATATACCAAATTTTATGTGACCATACATTTATAAAGTTCAAAACCAAGCCAAATCAAACAATATACTTTTGGAGGCACACGTGCAACATAGCACTTTTAAAAAATGAGATTGATAAAAATAAAATCCAAGATAGTGGTGACCTCAGAGAGATTTAGGGAGGTAGAAAAGGGAAGCAGCCCCTTGATGAGTTCAAGGATACCTGTAATGTTTTCTTAAGTTGGAGGTATATTTGATTACTGTTTTACAAATTATATCTTCTACATATATTCGTGTGTATGTATCAAATGTTACATTAAAAATGATAATATAAGCCATTTAGGTTTTCCTAGTTAAGACTCATTTTAATGGTAAGTCACAAGATCCTGGAGTCCCAAAAAAGACAACACAGAAGTGTCTATCTAAGAAAAGTTCTATCATATTAGGGACCCCCACACATAGGTGAACAAGATGAAGTGACAGTTTTGAAATACCCAGAATGATTTATTTAAGCATTACCTGCCTTTTAGTGACTTCTGAAGGATGATGCCTTCTTGGTTCCTCCTACAAAATATGTAAAATAATAAAAAAAATAATAAACATAAAGTCAGGAGCAAATAGAAAGATTAGTTATTATAACAGGAAGCCTTTGCTACTGTTTTGCTTTTATTATTATTAACATATACGTAGTATCTCAAGAGCAAGAGGCAGGATCAGAAGGATATCAAGGTAAAAACCAGGGTGGAGATTGGCAATAGTGTTATAAGAAAAGAGAACCTGCGATAAACCACATTCCTGATAGGAAAATTGATGAGGGAAAACCTCATTTAAAATGGAATCGGGAGGCCAGAAGAGGGAGCACCCAGGCACTGCCAGGTGACATGAGGTACAGACCCTGTCAGGGAGAGCTGTCAGCCAAGGACCTCAGCAGGGACCCACTCAGCACTCTAGCTGAGGAAGTGCTTCCTTGCAACTCCGCCAATGAGAAGCCACCAGCACCCTGGACACCTTTTTTTTTTT